ATAGCCGTAGGGATGGTCCTGAAGGGATCCACCAGCTACGCGGGCGTTTTCTGCCTGCGCGCCGAATTTGGACCTGATCCCTTGGATTCAGTACGTAGTCACTGTGACCAACGAATCGCCCACATGCACCGTCCTGAAACGCAGATGTTGCATGACGGGGCTGACAACTCGAAGATCCGCAAGCGCCTTCTCATCTTCAAGCGCGTGTTTCTTTTCTTCTCGTTTTTCTGGCTTCTTGCAACCATGCCGTTAACGAGCGAACAATGCCATGAAAGCCCGACTCGGTTTTTCGGAGCCTCTCGAGTGTCGTCAAGAAACAGATGGACGATGGGTATTGGGAAGGCTGTATGAACACTGCAGAGGTTTGTTGATAATAAGCAACAAGCACGACAATGGAGTCCTTGCTGCTGATGTAAGGCATGAGGATATAGCAGCGAGCGGTTTTGCCCGACGAAGTGCCGAAATTCGTTTGCCATCCGTCTTAGATGGTTGGCGTAAATTTTCTATCTCGGAACAGATCTTCGCGCTAGGGAATCCCTCTTTGAGTTCTTCGGCGAGCGATTTGTTCGAGGACCGTGTCGAATGTTAGCATGAAGGTCACAGCAAGCAATCAAGGCGGACTTACTAAGTGCCTTCGAAGAGAATACGATGTCTCAGGGGCATACGTAATTTGACCCAGTCAAGCAAGACTTCAGTTGAGAGGAAGAGAACGCGAGACTTTTCAGCGACATGACAGATGGTCGATCTTGTTGGGAGAGCGGGTGTCTCGGGCATTTATGCGCGAAAGTGATGTTTTAGAGAGGAGAAGCTTCCCTGGAGCTCGTCCGATCGTAGTTAGCACATACATCAAGCGATGTTTTCGACTCATGATGACCTTGATCTGCTAAACTTCGTGCATCCCCGTCCCCGCGGTGCATAAAGAGCTGCACAGGGACGCGCACGACTGTCGCTCAGCGCGTCACAATAAATATCGAGTACGACGAGCAACGCGGAACTTTCTCCCAGAGCCGTCTTCGCTCTCGTGAAGCCCGGAGAGGAGTGCTGTATCGCCTCGGCTTCGCATTGGAAACCGGGTGAATTTCGAAGGGGAAAGCCGTAGTCAAGTTTGTTGATGTCATGCTGTTCAGTTCAACAAGTCGACAGCACTGATGATCCCTCCGGAGCCCTCAAGCTCACGTAGGAGCTGCGTCTCACCCGGGGACATCCTGCAGGTTGGTCGGGCCCCGGACGTTTGCTCTGTGTTTTGGCTGCGGTTGGGGCGTGGCTAACGCGGGGCAAGGGGCGTTGGTTCTCCCGATGCGAAAATGAAAGGGACGGGAAGAGCGCTCCTGATGGAGCTTGCAGCGGCGTCTGTCCGGCCCTGCATGCTGGCATTGACTGGGACGATACGTCCAATAGGTGATGCGCCGGGCCAGATACTTGAGAAAACGGACAGGTTACACCACCACTCTGTCCCGAGGCTGATTCCAGGCTGGAGTGTCTAGCGGCGCCAGATGACGCGTCGATATCGGTCGAGGTGGCGCCGACCTGGCCACGATCCAAAAACGCAGATAGAGGCTGCCTCGGCTATGCCCAGCTGGAGTCGACCTGGGGCCAGCGCTGGCGCGGGCTCGAGCCCAGAGAGCGGAGCAGATGTATATTCATAATTTATGCCACACTTTTCAGGATCCAATGCACAGTACTAACATCATTTGCATTGCACTCTACAGTACTCGGTGATAATTACAGGTTTCATAGCGAGAGAAAAGGGAAGCCACTCACAAGTATGTGTTGCACATCTAACATCCCCTCGAAGGAGTAACGAAAAAGGTGCTTACTCAAACGAGTTCGGTTGATTTGCGCCCAAAGTTTGCTTGGTAACGACATAGACACGCTTGAGGAGAGTGTCGCGAAGGGGAGTCCTGGAGTTCCGGCGCCGCGATCGAATCATGCTGTTGTAGTCACAGATTGTGGGGGAGACAGAGTTCAGAGCGTGAATATGATGTACGCAGAGGCAGGCTTACATATACATGCCGTTGCAGGCAACCATAGATATTCGGTCAGATTTTGGAACGGAGAGTAGGTCATCGCTTACCATGCATGAAGAACTTGAATGAGATTTTCGTGTTCGTCAAGGACAATGTTGACGGATTGTTAGCAAGCATGCACTCACATTGGAAGGGCAGCTAGTCCACCATGCGCACCTTCTCGAGCTTCTCTTTGACTACGCGCCCAAGCACGTCAAATGTCGCAAGCGTGAAGAGCTGCTGCAGGGAAGTCAGCACCCGCGCCCAGAGCAGGAAAATGTACATGCGTCACCTTGAGGTTGCCAGCCAAGTGTCCAACATTCAGCACGCGGGGCAACATTCTGCTCCATGGGAGCATCTTCAACCACTCGACAGAACTCATGGACCATACTGACTTGTGAGAATCCCAGGCATCAGCGAATGGTGTCCTTATGGACCACCTTGAGACGAAGCGCAGGCGAATACCGAGAGCAACTGACCTGACAACAAGACATGTAAGGGTGTGATCATGAGCGCATGTTTGCGGGCAATTGCTTCGAGTCTTCAAATGGTGGTTGCCTCTTGTTTCAAGGTGAGACTTGCACGACAGTTGGACGAGAGCATGGAGAGTGAAGAAGGTGGAAGAGGGAGTGAAGGTGGCGAGTTGGACTTGAAGCAAATTTCACAATAACTCCCGGCCTGGTTGGATGGAAAGACATAGAGGCGACCTGGAGACCATCTGGACTCCAGACGAAGGAAGCCAAGCAGGAGGCCACATCGACACCAGATCGAGGAGACCTGGGGGAGATCAGGCTCGCGCCGAGCTGGCCCTGATATCGCCGCCACCTGACGCTCGCGGTCGGCTCTATCTCGCCGCGCTAGATCGACTCCGGCTGGCGCAGAGTTGGTGGTGTATGCTGGCGTGTATGCGCAGCGGCGTGGACACAGCCCTGTACAGCCCGGGAGGCACTGGCGAAGATGCTTAGCGGGCATTGACGGTTACCGCGTAGCAGGGACCCATCTTTCGCTCTTTGACCTCCCCCGCTCCAGTGCAGCGCACTCGTCCGATCCCTCTTTCTCCCTAGACGTCCCTCTCCACCTCTAATTAGCCGCCCAAGCCGGCTTTTCCTCTCTCCTCCTCCTCCGCCATGCGTTTCCCGGTAGTTCTCGTCGCGACCACCTCATGTCTCGCTCTCTCGGCCACCGCCATCCCCCGCCCCGATCCCGCACACCAGCTCGCCGCGCGGGCCTTGATCATCGGCGGCGGCGCATCGGACTCGGCGACGGACACGAACACGAACACCGCGTCCGCAACGACCACCGCTCCCGCCGCGAGCAACACCGACACCAACACGAACACCAATACCGCTACCAACACCAATACCAACACCGCATCAAACACTGACACCAACACCAACACCGCATCCAATACCGACACCAACACTAACACCGTTACTAATACCAACACCGATACCAACACGAACACGAACACCCAGACCTCGGCCACGCCTACCCAAACTCCGACGCAGACGTTGACCCCCACCCAGGCGCCGACTACTAGCGCACCGCCAACGACGTCGCAAGCCCCGAAGACGTCCGCGTTCGTTACGACCAACGACGATGGCGAGGCGGTCACTACTACTGTCGTTGTGGGTGCCACGGACACTGCGGCCACCTCATCCGCGTCCGCGTCCGCCGGTGCCGACAAGAACAACGACAACAGCGATTCAAACTCGGGCGGCGTCAAAACTGGCACCATCATTGGCCTCGCGGTCGCCGGCGGCGTCGCCGTTATTGGCATCGTCGCATTCTTCATCTGGAAGTTCACCCGGAAGCGGTTCAACGATGACCTTGATGACAGTGAGTACTCGCACACATCATTCACAAGACGCGCGCGCTTCAACTTTTTCTTGCGTTAGACGAGGCTATCAAGTGGCCCGAGCTAGGCGGCAACCACTCGGACGCGTTCGGCAAGTCGCCCTCCGGCGGCTTCGGCTCTCCCTCAGAGGACGCGCTCTCCCGTCCCGACTCGCGCGTGGGCGGTGGCGGCTACGCCCAATCCGTCGCGGCCTCTTCTACTGCCGAGTTCTACCCCGCCGCCGCGGACCCGTACGCCGTCCCGCCTTTGCCGCACATGAACCCCGCTCAGCCGCCGACGTCCTACCGCGACGATCCGAACGCGCCCGCCTCGTTCTACGATCCGTACTCGGGCCCCGTCCCGCACACGCTCGCCGCGCAAGACGGCATGGAGGCGATCCCGATGACCCAGCTCCGCGCGCCGAGCCCGGGCCCCGCCCGCGCGCTGAGCCCGCAGCCGCCCCAGATGAGCGCGTTTGACCCTGCCGCGCGCACGCTGAGCCCCGCGCCGCCGCAGATGGGATACGGGTACGACCCCGCCGCACGCACGTTGAGCCCGGCGCCCAGCATGGGCCCCATGCGCGGACCGTCGCCTGGGCCTCCGGCGGCGTACACCAGCGCCGCCCCTGCCGGCTACCGGTGACGAGATGGATGATCAGGGTGCGCTCTCGGCGTGACAGCTCGGCGTTGAGCGTTGATGCCTGTTGCGCGCGTGCCCGATACCCCTTCCCGAGGTGCATAGCATGGATGCTCAGCGACGTTGTTTGGTGTTTGGAGTTTTGGATCGCATGGTCGTGGTGATGGTTGGTAATATCGTCCGCTAGCATAGCGCTGTCGGGTTCCTACGGTAGCGGTTCTTGTTTCGGATGGGCGGACACGGACGCCACATATACATACGCACACTTTTTCCCCCTCAATCCGCTTTCTTGTCCCTCATTCTCGCTTTCGAACGACGCTCGCCGCACGCATGAATGCCTCGGGTATATACATACTGTTCTCATACCACAAGCAGACATCGCTTCGGATCGAAATATACGAATATTAATGCTTGCCTCAACGTGCAGTGCGACATCCGGATCTCCGATCCCCCCTCATTCACGGGTCGGCCCTTCCCAACAATGGCGCTGAGCTGGCTACGCTGTCCATCGATTCTATCGACGATCCGCGCTCGAGCTCTGGTCGGTGCTTTGCAGGCTCCGCGACTGCCTCGAGGGTTTTAGCCTCAGGCTCGGCCTGTTCTGTGTAGGCGGAATCTGAGCCAGAGATCGGCGGAGTGACTGTGATATCGTCGTCGGAGATAGCGTCCGCGTTGGATACGATTATCACAGGAACGACGATTGCTGAGCTTGTACTAGGCGGAGGCGCATGATGGGTAATGCTCTCTTGGCGAGACTCGCTCAAGGATGTCCATTGCCGAGAAGGCATAAGGTACTCCAGTGAAGAGGTCGGGCGGGCCACGGACACCAAGCTGCTTGCCCGTGATCGCGGTGCAGGTGGTTCTGGTTCTGCGCCGATCTCGTACAGGTTGCGCAGTGCGCACAGAAAATTGTTGGGCGATCGCATTTCCAGCACCATGCCGTCCTTCTGCCACTCGTAGAATTCCTGGTAATCCATTTCTTCGTACAGTCCGAGCTCAGCGCTTTTGTCAAGTGCGAGGATTAGCTCCCTCGGCGCTCTGAAGCCTTTCCTGGTCAACCTTGCTACCGCACTACATATGCGCAAGTTTCCCGTCGCCGTACGGTCTGTGATGGGTGTCTCCTCTGCATAACGGCGTGCGTGTCTCTCAGTGCGGACGTAGGCCGATGCAAGATAAGTGTAGAGATTGTAAGGCTTCTCCTGGTCATTGCAACGCGAGACATGGTATCGCAAGCATTGGCAGAACGTGGCCGGTAGTTTCTCCAATGATGCGATGTGCCGCGAATCGAGAGAAGGCAGAAAATCCAATGTCATTGCTGCCGCTGGGAGGTGCAGTTGGTAGCCGTACCGATCCATCATCGCAAGCTTGAGGAGGCGTTCCACGTCTAAGTACTAATCAGATCGTAGGTCCTTCATAGAACTGTTGCGAGATCTTACCCTCTGTGCGGACGATTTCTCGCCATGGCGCCACCTCGGCCTCCTGACCCGGAGCGCTGAGCAGTTCCACGCTCAGACCTTCCAAGGTACGATACTCGGGTTGACCGCCCAGAAATGGGATAAACGCGTTCAAATACTGGACTAGGATGTCGTCGCAATCGGGCATCCCATAGAACCTCTCCACCAGCAATTTGAGCAGGACAAGCCCATCCCGAAGAGAGGGCTTCAACGCCCGCATGCTTCCCGGATGCAAGTGAGGAAGGACAGCAAACAGCATGCGGACGGATCGTCTGTAAACACGCTCGCCGATCACAGGCCACGACTTCTCGATGTTGGGGTAAATCGAAGGACGCGAAGAGCGTAAACGCTCGACAAGCCCGAGAGTGGTGACCCCGAACGTATTCGCCACTAAGCCAAAGACGAACTCGGCGGTGACAGGCGTGTTCAGGTCGGCGATACAAGAGACCATGGAGTCGCGTAAATCCTCATCCAAGATGGTCTTGAATGTCCATGCGAAGACGTCGTGGGCGACTAGATCTTCTTGCGATCGCGGAGTATCCCGTTCTACCCAGGATGAGGGTACCAAGCCGTAGTCTATGCTTCTCCATTTATCTCTCCACCGACGAGGGAACCATTTGGGAGCAAATTTTTTGGTCCTCCATATGATCCTTGAAAGGGACAGAGAAGCCGGCGTGCGATACGGACACGTTACGGAGAACGCAGGTAAGAGTGCGCTACCAAGAGTTACCCCAAGGGAGACGCCTACGATGGCTGTAACGACAGCCGCCACGGTAGTATCCAGTGACCATAATAGATCGACAATGCCAAGGAGAAAGAGCACAAGTGAGATTTGAAGTAGAACGGGTAATGATGCGATTATGCCAAAGACCCTCCATTTTTCCAGTCCTTGATCGAAAGGAAGGGTCGGTAATGTCCCATACAGAGTAACAAGATGCCTGACCATTATAACGGTGTTGGCGAAGCTTGACACTTTCTGGAGGCGGTGAAAATATCCAAGCGCTAGGTAGACCTATTTAGTTTACGGAACGGCAGGGGGCCAAGTTTACATACATATACTCTCGAAGCCACTGCTTCAGCAAAATGCATACCAAAGCAGAGATCAACGACAAAACGAGGCTGGAAAACCAGAATGTATTGATGCGAACAGCGCCCCGAGGCATCTGCAAAGGGGGCAGTTGCGCTTTGATCGGGTGGGTGGAGTCCATGAAGCTCCCATTGACGGAGAAGCTGCTCAACTGCAGAGATATCTGCAGGAGTAGCGCCGCGGTGGTGTCGTCCGGATCTCGTTGTAGAAACTTGTAACTTTCGATGATGAACGCCGTAAGGACGGCAGAGAAAAGGCCGGCCTACATAGGCTACCTGTTAAACAGACCACACTGGAAGGGCGGGGAACGCGACTCACAAAAAACAAGCAATGAGTCTATTTCCTCTTTACAGCCATCTATCATGTCTTGGTCGTACTCTCGAACAGCCGTTGCGCAAGCCGCCCAACCTTCGGGGGCGCCAGAGGCGCCCTCTCGCTCCTGATAGTCGCGGGTCGGTCGCATGAGCACTGTTGTGTTCGGAAGGCTGTCTAGGTGTCCAAAGGCAAGCGTCGAGAGAACTCAAGGCGACTAGGCCTATATGAGAGATAATATATTGCGCGCCTCATGTCCAAGCTGTATCGGCGCATTCCCATGCTCGACGGGCTGGGCAGCTCAACACGGGATAACTTGGTGGCATCTTGTTGAAGTCTTCATCGGCAAAGAATGCGTTCCCATGTTCCAGAGGGTGACTTTGTGTCAAGTGCGCTAGGATGCACACATTGCGCGCAAGTATCGAGGAAGGCGAAGGGAGGGCGTGTGAACCAACGAGTGCTTACTTCCATCGTTGTCCAACCCGCCACCGATCTAGCTAAGTATAGTAGCTGCACTATGGTGGTCCGTATCGGATTCATCCATTTTCATCCAAAATCACAGTAATTCATCCGTTTTTATTCGCTTTCATTCGCTTTCACCCATTTTCACTCGTACTTTCATCCATTTTCACTCAAAATCATTGACATTCATCCTGATTCGCTCGTTTTCATTCATCTTCACTCGTTTTCATTTTCAGTCATTTTCACTCGTTTTCACAGAGGCCTACATAGCCACAGAACCATGTTGGTCATGCACCTAGAATCATCCAATAATCACAACTCTGTTAAGATCAGATCACGGCGGAGCTAGATAATAGGTATTAGCGCTTCGCTCTGAGGGAGAATAGGGCAAGAGCCTGGTATATTGGATGTACCTAGATAATAGGTATTACTACGGTACATTAGCAAGGGAAACTACAGGGAATATAGAGGGTGACTCACGCGCTTCGCTCTGAGGGAGAATAGGGCAAGAGCGAAGCGCGGTTACAACACGAGACGGTATTTACGGATGATCGACAGTCCATACCGACCCCGAACAAAGATGGGTACGACGAGGTGTCACTGCGCCGGCTTGCCGCGGCGGCGTCGCCGCTCAAATCCTAACACTCCCCCTCAAGCCTAGCGGAGACCCATGAGGAACCGAAAGTATTCGAACTTGACGCGCGCGAGCGGCTTCGTGAACGCGTCAGCAACCATCTCGTTGGTGGAGATGTAATTGAGGTCGATGGCGGTGTTCTCGACGGCCTCGCGCACAAAGTGGTAGTGCACGTCGATGTGCTTCGTGCGTGAGTTCATGAGCCCGTTCTTCGCGAGCGCGATCGCGCTCTGGTTGTCGGACCAAAGCGGGGTGGAGGGAGGAGCGTCGCCAGCGAGTTCCGAGAGGAGGGTGCGCAGCCAGACGAGCTCGCGCGTTGCGCCCGACGCGGCAACGTACTCGGCCTCGGTGGAGGAGATGGTGACGAGGGACTGCTTGCGCGAGCCCCACGAGATTGCGCCACCGTTGTAGAGGAAGACCGCGCCGGAGATCGAGTGGCGGCCGGGCTGGCTCGCGTGGTCCGAGTCGGTGAAGCCGACGAGCCCGGTAGCGTCAACGCCGAGCGTGAGCGCGAGGGTCTTCGTGCCAATGAGATAGCGCAGGACGCGCTTGGCGGCCTCCCAGTGGATGACGGCGGGGTCGGCCATGAACCGGGCGAGTGTGGAGACGGCGAAGGCGATGTCGGGGCGCGACCCGATGGCTGCATACATCAGCGAGCCGACTAGGCGCGCATATGGCTTGTTCTTCATCGCTTCGCGGTCGGCGTCGGAGATGTCGGCGAAGAGGTAAGCATGAGGGTCGAGAGGAATGGATAGCGGGGTGGCCGTGGTGAGGTTGAACCGCTCCGCGAGCGTGTCGATGTACGCGGTCTGCGTGAGCGTAAGTGTACGCGCGGCTCTGTCGCGCTGTACCTCGAACCCGAGCACCCAACGCGCAGCCCCCATATCCACTATCTCATATCGCCCGCCAATCTCCAGCTTGAAGGTAGCCATCCCGGCGGTCGTGTTTGCGACGATGATGCAGTCGTCGACGTGGATCGCGAGAATGATCGACACGTTGTCCTCGAAGAGGTAGAACACGGCGGGGTCGGCGGCACAGCGAGTGAATCCGAGCTGGTCGATGAGCAGCTTGCACACTTTGTGATACCACTCGCGTCCGGCTTGCTTCAGGCCGTAGAGTGCTTTGAGGAGGCGAAGGACGTGGCCCTCTTTGCCAGGGACCTCGAAACCGGGCGGCTGGCGCATGTAGATCTCCTCTTGGAGGTCGGCATTGAGGTATGCGTTGGTGAAATCAATGCAGTCGATCTCCCAGTCGCGTTCGGCGGCAAGGGCGAGGATGAGGCGGAGAGAGGCGAGACGAACGGTGGGAGAGGCGGTTTGGAAGTAGTCTATTAGGTACTTTTGCGTGTGACCGCCACCAATGAGGCGGGATTTGTGCTTTCGCACCTCGTTGCGCTCGTCTCTCTTCTTCTTCAACACCCACAGACTGCTAATCACGTTCGCCTTGGGCGGTCTCGGAACGAGCTCCCAGGTCTTGCGCTTCTCGAGCGCCGTGATTTCTGCCCGCATCGACTCGCGCCACACGTCTGCCTCCTCGCCGTTCAATGCCTCTCGCGCGGTAGGTTCGTCTCCCGCCATCGCTGCGCCAGCGAATAACGGGATCAGATTCCCAGAAAACAGTGCAGCAACTGACGCGTTGGGGATGGTTCCCTCAAACCACTCCTCCGCATGTGCTGCCGCCGTCGCCGTACCGCCGAGCAAACTCGCGGGCACTTGCTGTGCGCCGCGTCCTCCCGCCGTTCCTTCGCCAGACTGAATCTTCTTGATCCAGGACGACGGCTTGCGCACGCGCTGGGGGCGGCTTGCTGCGGGCGGCTGCTCCGGCGCCAAATTCTCGGGCACGGGCGGCACGGCGTCCTCGTCGGATGGCTCGGTGTGCGGTGTGGAAGACGCGATCGGAGGCGCGGGCGCGGGTGCTTGCGCTGCAGTAGGAGCTTCGGGGGCAGGCGATGCACGGACATACGGGTTGTCCGGAGCATCTGCGACACTCTCCCCCTCAAACTGGATGTCCGTGAAGTCGGGCTCCCCCTCAAACCTCACGTCTCGCTCGACCGAAATCTTGTGCTGGCCGGGCCAGTAGATGCGGTGGCCTTTGCTTTGGTCATCGAATCTGACCCAGCAGCATTTGACGCTGCGCGGATCGAGCTTCGAGGGCACGTGTGTCGACTTCACCCAGCAGTGCGCGCCGAAGCGGCGCAACCCGGAGAGGTTTGGCTTGGCGCCAGTCGCCTTCTCGTACGGGGTGGAGCCGGGGGTGTTCGCGGTCTCCGTGCGGTTGCGGAGGTACGCTGTCGCGGACGGAAGTTTGTGGTGGGTGTGATGTGCTTGTGGCTGTGTCGAAGAGGCGAGGGGAATTCTTGAGGTGATAGGAGTGTACCACCGATTCTTCAGCTTCTTCTTGCAGCAAACTTCCCTGAGGTCCCGGGCTATCTAAGTCGGGGATTGCTCAGTTGGCCGTCGGTTATTGAACCTGACTTGAATTTGATGGGGAGATGGCGACATTGCTTCGCTCTATGGCGACGAGTATCCCTATGCGAATGTTGCCGACTACGGGGGCACATAGTTCCCAAGTACGGAGCTCATAAGTGGGAGTAGGGGAGGCATAAAGTTGGTAAACACCATCGTCTAGGCACGTGGTAGGTGGAATGATGGAGTCTGGAATGGGTGGAGCTCGGTACGGCAAGTCTTCATCGGCATCCAGGGCTTCGATCTGGAGCAGGCTGGCTGGGTGCAGGGCATGAACAGGAGAGCCGATGTTTCCTAAAGTCGTGTCTTTCGGTGTCATTGGGGGTGTCAAAGACGAGTGGAACCCAGTCTTCCAAGTGAACGTGTTCTCTTGGTTCTGCAGAAAGGAGATCCCAAAGTTCGCCTGGCCTAGTAGCCTCATTGGTTGTATGGGGGCGAAGATGACTGATCGCTTCGATAGGGGGATCATTCCTGGGCCAATAGGTGGGAGAAGTAGATTCGGAGTCCCGCTCGTTACTCAAAGCATGACGAGTGATAGCACGCTCCTCGGACTCCATCCACCAGTCTTGCAGGGTGGGTTCCTCCGGTGCCTGGAGTGGAGGTGTTTCTACCATGACTACTCTGATAGTTAGCGATGAAGTCATGATTCCATCTTTCTGAGCCTTACAGGGAGGGGCTGTCTCTTCGGCTGGGAGATCTTGGTCGAGAGAGTTGCGCAAGCGGTACGTTTGTCCCATGGTAAGTGAGTAAGGAGGGGAATGATGGACAACGGCAAAGGTTACTCGTCCTAACTTCGTTCTATTTGCTTATTGTTATTCACACGCGCCTTCCTACCTCATTCCTTGGTTACCGGTTCATTGTCCTGGTGTCAGACACTCCCTGTTGGATTTATTTGCGATATGCCTCTTATTTTCTTTCGATATTCGTCGCATATCCTGGCGCCGGGCTCGTGTATTCTAATACAAAAAATCGATAACAATTCTACGCATCCTCTTCCCTTGCCATTGCCGCCCGTGGTCCATCCCAACTGCTGAACGTGTCTTTTTTAATTTTAAATTAGAACAGTAGTTAATATGAGCATGCGGTGGATGTACATACCGGCTTGCATGGTCACGTCGGCGGTTTTGGTAACGTTGTGCTTCGTCCAATCTCGCATTGAAAGGCGGGCGAGCTCCGGCGTGACGCGCAACATGACGCGCTCCGAGTTGATGACCTGTCCGGAGAACACGACAATCCCATGCACGAAGAAGGTGACTGTGATGAGAAGAGAAGGACAATTTATTTTCGCATTTTTCATTTCTAAATATGGACTTATCATTTTCCTTTTCCCACCTTTCCTTTTCCAAAGTCACGTGACCTTCAGTGGCAGCAGTACAGCATCATTGACACTGCCCTGCACTGCCTTGCACAGCCTTGCACAGCCCTGCACAGCCACCGGAGTTTTATTCCGCTTACTCATGAACAATGACTCGTTATTCCTTCTAACTCCTTGATTCATAATCCTGACCCACCTAAGTGGGTCGGTCTTACTCATCCTTG